GAGTTTCGAGGTTCTACTTTTTTTTCTTACAATTCTTGCTTGGGTTGGGGAGGGGGGATAAGGTACGGTTGGATACGGTGAGGGGGGATAGAGTGATGGGGAGGAGGAGGGGTAGAATGAGGGGGGATATGATGAGGGGGGATAAGGTGAGGGGGAAAGGATGAGTGGGGAACGAGTGAGGTGGATATGGTGAGGAGGGATAGGATAAGGGGGGATAGGGTGAGGGGGTGGGGCGGGGCAACAAAAACTGTGGGGGAAAAAAAGGGGGGGGGGGTTGCTTTGGTAATCGTGTCTACCAACAGTTTTCTGTCGTCTAGTGTCCCTGACATCATTCTTGTCTCTTCTTCTTCTGCCTTCTATCTCCATTGGAGCATAGGCCCATAGCCAACTCACGCCAAGTCTTCATTTCCTTTTCTACCGCATGCAGCTCACCGCATGTCTTCCTAAACAAATTCCCTCTCTAGTCTCCTTCTCCATATGTTTTTTGGTCACATAAGAGTAATGTGCGTCGACGATTCTGACTCCTTTGGGCTTTCCCGCACCTCAACATCATTCTTATTTTAGAAGAACTTCCCCTCATCTTGTTTGGCTAAGTATTATTTGCTTCTTTTTGTTTACAGGCTGAGGTAGCCACCCCCAAACACCACCCTTGCCTTAGTCGCCTCTCACGACATGCCTTGTAGGGAGCAGTCTTACTATTGTTTGCTTTCCATGAGGACCCAGATGACACATGTATATCATTGCTGATACATATTTTATGCAATACCGACACGTCATACTAGTTTGGATGTGTGTGTGTGTGTGTGTGTTTATGTGTGTATGTGTGTGCTTGGAAGTAATGTTTTCTTTGGAACAACCCTTGCAACATCCACGTATTTTATCACTGACATGTAAACTGCACGAAACAAAATGCATAAGCAATTTTGTCGTGGTGTTTGTAGGCTAGAAATTTTGTTTTTAACTCAACAGATACAAATTAATGAAAACATACTTAGCAGTATTCCTCTTGCCCACCCAATTTATTAGCAGTATTCCTCTTGCCCACCCCGAATATTCGCAGTATTCTTCTTGCCCACCCCGAATATTCGCAGTATTCTTTTTGTTCACCCTGAATATTCGCAGTATTCCTCTTGTTCACCCTGAATATTCGCAGTATTATTCTTGTTCACCCTGAATATTCGCAGTATTATTCTTGTTCACCCTGAATATTCGCAGTATTATTCTTGTTCACCCTGAATATTCGTAGTATTCTTTTTTTCCAACTAGGATATTCGCAATATTCTTCTTGTCCACCCAGTTTATTAGCAATATTCTTCTAGTTCACCCAATATATTCGCAATATTCTTTTTGTCTACCAATTATATTCTTCACAATGTTCTTATTGTCCATCCAATTTTTTTTAGCAATAATCTTTCTTGCCCACCCAGGATATTTGCAGCATACCTCTTGCCCACCTATTTTATTAACAATATTCTTCGTGTTCACCCAGGATATTCGTAGAATTCTTTTTGTCCACCAAAGATTCTCGCAGTATTCCTCTTGTCCACCCAGGATATATTTGCAATAATCTTCTTGTCCACCAAATATATTCATCTTTTCCACCCCAGGTATTCGCAATATTTTTTTCCCCACCCAGGATATTCGCAGTGTTCTTCTTGTCCACCCAGGATATTTGCAATGTTCATTTTGTCCACTCAATATATTCTTAGTACTCTTCTTGGCCACCCAGTTTAGTCTACAATCCGTTTAAGGTTTGTCACTAATCTTTTGGTTTTGAACAAATTCTTGCGTAGTGATATCAAGTAACACCTTTACACTGACACCTATGGATAGTGCAGTCTGATTTTGGTAATGACACACAAAACAACACATGCTAAATCTCTATCTACAGAAGTGTATTTCCAAATATTTAAACTGTCCTTTCAGTTTGTTTCCTATCTATGACTCAAGATCTTGAAAATATATAATATCTGAAGACAGCTTTTCATTTACTTGTTGATCATACTGCTAATATGTGATGCATGTATTTATCCTATACAATAATATCAGACGTAAGAAAATGTTTCCGACATGCTACACTGGTTTTCCCAGGTGTCCATTTTTTCTGTGTAACTAATTTTAGCTATCATTCTCGACTAAGTATCGGAAGAAAATTTAAACACACTCACATGTCCACTGAAAGTATCATAAATCGCACGCATAGTTAATAACACTATCCATTTCACAACAGTCTAATTAGGAAATTTAAATAGAAAATAAGGCAAAAAAACACGCATAAATCACATTTCCACTATTAATTTCTTTCTAAAAAACTTCACATATTTTGTTTGCCCACGTTTGACAGCTGACCGGAACACCATGACGGCCCACACTAGAGACGGTTTAGGTCCGATCTTTCTTTGTACAGAATCTGGTTGCACAAGGTACCAGCTCTGTTGTTTAAGCAATGACCTCACTGATTTCAAAAACGCCTGTACTCCCGAAGTGTGGACTTTTGAAAGTAGAGTGTTTGGCTCCCAAACTTGTCATGTTCCTGCCATACTTTGTAGACAATAATAATTTCGCGACAGTAATTCAGCCTACAGAACTGGCTCGTAAACAGCCTACTGTCCCAAATGCTGAGCTATTGTAACCTGTTAACTGTGCTGTTACGGATATTAAGAATGTTACACACGTGACATCATGGTGCAGACGATCAAGATGACGTCATAATGAGAGTTTGAAGGTGCCACCCCACTTTTGATATGCACTGAAAAGGAACAGTGTGAGCCCAAGTAAGTGAACACTAAATCCCCTCGTGTAAAGAACTGAACCTGTTGGCAAGCCTCTAGCCACTGAGCTTCTGAAGCTGCCGGGAATGGGCTTTTTCCCACGCCTTCAGGCGTTTTGGTCATTTAGGGCTAGACCTGTATAAGGTTCTTTTCTTTAATTCCACCACATCACGCTGGCTTAGAGATTTGGTAGAGAAATTCCCAGACCCTCCCATAGTATAGGGGGTTTAGAGTTAAGCTTAGTAGCAGTCTCTATTCGTGTAACACTAGCTCTAATCCTAACCCACCTTACTATGGAACGGTCTGGGGATTTATTTGCCTACCAAATTTCGAAGCCGGCGTTATGTGGTGGAATAACAGAAAAGAAGTTATTTATTATAGACCAATCGACATTTTGTGGGTGATTTGGTCAGCATCAAACCGGCCGTCTTTACTTCCCATGAATGTACCTAGTACCCATTTAAGGCTGCGTCGACCTGGGAGCGAAGGTCATTTTTGAAAGAAAGAAAAGTCCACAAGGATCTGACCCCATGACTTTCCTATCCCCAGCCACCATAGCGGTCCCTTCCTGAAATGATAGGTAACTATTTTACTTATGTGCATCTTATGATTGGGGGACCGCGGTGTAGTGGCCAGAGACTCGTCTGTCGGGTGGAAGGTCTTGGAATCAAATCCGCATCGAGTCGGAATGTTTTTCAACCTGGTAATAATTATGTCCTTGTAGTGAAAGAGTTATAATAAACGCAAACTTCAATTTTTGTGGGGTCTTTTTTGTGGTTAGGAGGAAAAAAACAGACACCGTTTCAAAGAATAGAGTTAATATATTTATAGTAAATGGCTCGAGGCAACGTTAGCAAAACATCAAACTGGATAGGTACACAAATCGTTAGTCCGACAAAGATCACAGAAACTCGCAGCCGTAAAAAAAACAAAAGCACTTGTGCAATTGTAAACTATGAAATCATAAAGACATGATTAATCTAAAATCACGTGAAAAAATATTCGCATTTATCCGTGCAGGAGTTTCGAGATATTTGTTAAAGTTTGAGGGCACGACTTTGGAAACGAAATATAGGTAATGTCCTGGGAACTGTATACACAAGGGAGATGAATGGTTTTAGAATACGAGGTAGACCAAGAAGAGTAGGGAGAGATAATATCCAGACAGACCTGCAAACACTTGGTATCACCAACTGGAAAGAGAAGGCCAACCAGAGAGATGGATGGAGGCGGGTGATATCTGCAGCAATGAACCTCAAGGGCTCAGAATGTAGAAGAAGAAGAAGAAGAAGAAGAAGAAGAAGAAGAAGAAGAAGAAGAAGAAGAAGAAGAAGAAGAAGAAGTCCTGGAAAGTAGTGGCTGTGGGCACGATGTTGACCACTAAGTTCATCATGTGGCGACTGGCTTGCAAAAATATGTGTCTAGCCTCCTAAACCCGAAGCTCCACCGGCGTAAAAGGGTCCTTTAGTTCACTTTATACACACAGTATATGGACATATATGCTGCATAGGAGAGAATCAGCCATGACAGAAAATATGAGAGGCCAGGTACCAGAGAATCAGACCCGAAGGACGACCCTGGGTTCGCCGGGAAAAAAAAAAAAACATCGGACAGTCTCTGACTGAAAGAGGACTGCAACGGAACAAAGTCAACAAGAAAAATGCTGACAGAGAAATCTGACGATCTGTCTGGCAAACCTCTACATCCTAAAGTAGATGAGTAGCTGACAGAGAAATCTGAGGTTCTCTCTGGCAAACATCAACATCCTACAGTAAATGAGTAGCTGACAGAGAAATCTGAGGTTCTCTCTGGCAAACCTCTACATCCTACAGTAAATGAGTAGCTGACAGAGAAATCTGAGGTTCTCTCTGGCAAACCTCTACATCCTACAGTAAATGAGTAGCTGACAGAGAAATCTGAGGTTCTCTCTGGCAAACCTCTACATCCTACAGTAAATGAGCAGCTGACAGAGAAATCTGAGGTTCTCTCTGGCAAACCTCTACATCCTACAGTAAACGAGTAGCTGACAGAGAAATCTGAGGTTCTCTCTGGTAAACCTCTACATCCTAAAGTAGACGAGGAGCTGACAGAGAAATCTGAGGCTCTCTCTGGCAAACCTTAACATCCTAAAGTAGATTAGAAGCGACTGAAAAAGAAACTACTTTACCTTATGTTTGATGTTTTCCTCCTCAGCGCAGAGAGAACTCGACATTCCAGGCCTAGCGAAGGATGGCGTCGTTCGACAGTAGTCCAGTTGTTGTGATCGCCGTGGACGGCAGTGAGCACTCCGTCTATGCCTTTGACTGTGAGTAACTTCTTCTTCGCTCGACATGTAGTTCCCAGAGCGTTCGTCTATCTCTGTGATAACTGTCCATTTTGGCCGATACATCTGACTTGTCCCCAGCTGTCATTATTCAGGGTAATTTTCCGGGTTGGTTAATAAAGTCAAGGACCCTTTTTCTACGCTTTTGGGCCTACTGGGCATATAGGGCTAGACTCAGTACTCAGTTGGTGATGGGGTCAGCATAACATCAGCCTCTGTTACTTCTCAGGACTTTACCTGATACTCAGTCAAGGCTAAGTCGACCTGGGAGCCGAGGTCATTTTTGAAAAAAATCTGGGTTCGTCCGGACCCGAACCCACGGCCTTCCGATCCACAGGCGAGCGTTGTAATGTTATTTGGCCCTTTCTAAATCAACAGTATCGTGACGTCATCATCGCCTGTTCTGTCTACAAATTGTAATTGATTGTGTCAAGCTGACGTACACTAGATAGATAGATAGATAGATAGATAGATAGATAGATAGATAGATAGATAGATAGATAGATAGATAGACAGACAGACAGACAGACAGACAGACAGACAGACAGACAGACAGACAGACAGACAGACAGACAGACAGACAGACAGACAGACAGACAGACAGACAGACAGACAGACAGACAGACAGACAGACAGACAGACAGACAGACAGACAGACAGACAGACAGACAGACAGACAGACAGACAGACAGACAGACAGACAGACAGACAGACAGACAGACAGACAGACAGACAGACAGACAGACAGACAGACAGACAGACAGACAGACAGACAGACAGACAGACAGACAGACAGACAGACAGATAGATAGATAGATAGATAGATAGATAGATAGATAGATAGATAGATAGATAGATAGATAGATAGATAGATAAGAAAAGGGAGGGGAGGGGAGGGAACTGGTACTATATGAGATGTTTCTATTGCAGGGTACCTGGAACATTTCCACAAGGAAGAGATGAGTCTGGTACTGGTGCACGTGCCTGACACCTTCGCTAATGTCACCATGATGAGTGAGTTTGCCACACGCACACGCACACACACACACACACACACGCACACACACACACGCACACACACACATTTGAGAACACACACATCTCCTTTTCCTTGATCGTCGACATTAACCTCGTTTCTTCTTCCTCTTGTTCTTGTTTTTTTTCTTCTTCATTTTTTTTTCTTGTTCTTGTTCTTCTTCTTCTTTTTGTTCTTGTTCTTGTTGTTGTTGTTCTTCTTCTTTATCATCATCACCATCATCATCATCTTCTTCTTCTTCTTCTTCTTCTTCTTCTTCTTCTTCTTCTTCTTCTTCTTCTTCTTCTTCTTCTTCTTCTTCTTCTTCTTCTTCTTCTTCTTCTTCTTCTGTTACTCTGTTATACACGCAAGTCGTGAGGATTTATTATTTTTCATTTTTTGTTTGAGAATGTATATTCAGTTCCAATGTCATTTCCGTTTCCTTTTTCCTAATACTTTTTATAATGTTATCTTTTGCCGGTAGCCTATACAGGTGTGTTTCTAATCACCATTTGGTAGACAGGCAAATTGAAGTCAGTTTTGTATGTGTATATTTTTAAAAGGTCCGTTCGTTAGTCAGTCGACAGATTATCATCATTTCAGGTCGAACCGCTCAGTCCATAAGTGCTCTGATCCCCTCCTCAGTAAACCGCGAAGCGTGTAGCGGCTGACGACACCAGTTCTCTGTTGGTTTATTTTTGATCTTTGGTTACCCCCGTAGTGTTCTTGTTTGGCGACATCCCGTTTAACTTGCTTTTCTTGCAGTCTGACCATAATTGCAGATTCACAGTTCTCAGTTGATTTACGCAAACGTCTAAAATGTAGAGCATTCAGTATATCCGCCTGGTCCATGGCTTGTCCGGCTTTCATAGTATTCTTACCTGCAAGTCTATCAGCTTGCTCAATTCCTCGTACCCTCGCAGTTTTCTTTCCCAAATATATACCAATACATAGAAATTTAGGCCAATGATTCTCAAATAACTACACCACGTGCACCTCACTAAACCTGCTGTACCTTGTGTATTCTGCTGCACCTTGGTGTAATCTGCTGTATTCTGCTGCACCTTAGTGTAATCTGCTGTATTCTGTTACACCTTAGTGTAATCTGCTGTATTCTGCTACACCTTGGTGTAATCTGCTGTATTCTGCTACACCTTGGTGTAATCTGCTGTATTCTGCTACACCTTGGTGTAATCTGCTGTATTCTGCTACACCTTGGTGTAATCTGCTGTATTCTGCTACACCTTGGTGTAATCTGCTGTATTCTGCTACACCTTGGTGTAATCTGCTGTATTCTGCTACACCTTGGTGTAATCTGCTGTATTCTGCTACACCTTGGTGTAATCTGCTGTATTCTGCTACACCTTGGTGTAATCTGCTGTATTCTGCTACACCTTGGTGTAATCTGCTGTATTCTGCTACACCTTGGTGTAATCTGCTGTATTCTGCTACACCTTGGTGTAATCTGCTGTATTCTGCTACACCTTGGTGTAATCTGCTGTATTCTGCTACACCTTAGTGTAATCTGCTGTATTCTGCTACACCTTGGTGTAATCTGCTGTATTCTGCTACACCTTGGTGTAATCTGCTGTATTCTGCTACACCTTGGTGTAATCTGCTGTATTCTGCTACACCTAAGTGTAATCTGCTGTATTCTGCTACACCTTGGTGTAATCTGCTGTATTCTGCTACACCTTGGTGTAATCTGCTGTATTCTGCTACACCTAAGTGTAATCTGCTGTATTCTGCTACACCTTAGTGTAATCTGCTGTATTCTGTTGCACATTAGTGTAATCTGCTGTATTCTGTTGCACCTTGGTGTAATCTGCTGTATTCTGCTACACCTAAGTGTAATCTGCTGTATTCTGCTACACCTTAGTGTAATCTGCTGTATTCTGCTGCACCTTGGTGTAATCTGCTGTATTCTGCTACACCTTAGTGTAATCTGCTGTATTCTGCTACACCTTGGTGTAATCTGCTGTATTCTGCTACACCTTAGTGTAATCTGCTGTATTCTGCTACACCTTGGTGTAATCTGCTGTATTCTGTTACACATAATGTAATCTGCTGTATTCTGCTACACCTTAGTGTAATCTGCTGTATTCTGCTACACCTTGGTGTAATCTGCTGTATTCTGTTACACCTTGGTGTAATCTGCTGTATTCTGCTGCACCTTAGTGTAATCTGCTGTATTCTGCTACACCTTGGTGTAATCTGCTGTATTCTGCTACACCTTGGTGTAATCTGCTGTATTCTGCTACACCTTGGTGTAATCTGCTGTATTCTGCTACACCTTGGTGTAATCTGCTGTATTCTGCTACACCTTAGTGTAATCTGCTGTATTCTGTTACACATAATGTAATCTGCTGTATTCTGCTACACCTTGGTGTAATCTGCTGTATTCTGTTACACCTTAGTGTAATCTGCTGTATTCTGCTACACCTTGGTGTAATCTGCTGTATTCTGTTACACCTTAGTGTAATCTGCTGTATTCTGCTACACCTTAACGTTATCTACTGTGTTCTTTCTTTCTTTCTTTCTTTCTTTCTTTCTTTCTTTCTTTCTTTCTTTCTTTCTTTCTTTCTTTCTTTCTTTCTTTCTTTCTTTCTTTCTTTCTTTCTTTCTTTCTTTCTTTCCTTATTTTTCCTATTTAGGCAAAGTTATCGGCAGCAGACAGGGTCACTGCCTCGTTCTGAGATTATTTTCCTGAGGTCAGCGAGCAGTTTTCCCAAGCCGGCCGTATTCTGCAGTTCTTTCTCTTCTGTAAATGAATTGATATCGATTATTTCTAGAGAAAATGTCCGAGCAATATTAGGATTTCTTTTTCAAATCGACGTTCGGACGTGAAATTGTCCTGATTTACTGGATATAGCCCAATTGTCTGTTTCAGATTTCATATTTGCATATTTGGAATAAATAAGCGAAAGAAGTAAGAGGTTTCTTTCTGTATACATTCTTGTCCTTTCTTCAAATTGAATTATCTTGTTTGTATCCGCATTATTTGAATTACCTTTGTTTTCGAGTGCTTTGTGGAGTGGCGTAGTCGATTAGGACAACCCGATTTCAAAAGCAAGTATATTGTTTCCCCCCACAACTCTTTCTGAACGTGTAAAAATGTACACCAAAGGTCCGTAACCTTTATTATAGTTGTGAATTCAGGGGGGATAAAAAGAAAGAGAGGGGTCGGGTGGGGGGTGGAGGTTGGGGGGGGGGGGGTTTAAGCACAAAATAAATCAATGGGGCTGGGGCGGGGTGTTAGTAATAATAATAATGTTTATTATTAGTATGCTAGTAAAGAAAGGTAAAGAACCCTTTCCCCCCGCCTTCGGGCATGTTGGGTTACAGACTAATCGGCACCTGGTGAGTGATGTGGTCAACATCACGCCGGCCGAATTTACTTCCCAGAACTGTAAGTGGTACTTATCCGAGGCTGGGTCGACCTGGTAGCCAGGTCATTTCTGGAGAATAACCGTTTCCGTCAGGATCCGAACCCACGACCTTCTGATCCGCAGGCGAGCGTCTAGCCGCTTCATAATGGCAGCTCCCTATTGTTATTATGTACTGAAAAGTAAATGAATGTAATATATAACAAATAAAAATGCCCTTTCACTGGAGCCCTGAGAATGAAAAAAAAAAAAAAAAAAATACCGCATACACTGAGACGGGCATTGAATCGTACAGTGAAAAACAACAACCGCATACACTGAGACGGGCATTGAATCGTACAGTGAAAAACAACAACCGCATACACTGAGACGGGCATTGAATCGTACATTGAAAAACAACAACCGCATACACTGAGACGGGCATTGAATCGTACAGTGAAAAACAACAACCGCATACACTGAGACGGGCATTGAATCGTACAGTGAAAAACAACAACCGCATACACTGAGACGGGCATTGAATCGTACAGTGAAAAACAACAACAGCATACACTGAGACGGGCATTGAATCGTACAGTGAAAAACAACAACCGCATATATTGAGACGGGCATTGAATCGTACAGTGAAAAACAACAACCGCATATATTGAGACGGGCATTGAATCGTACAGTGAAAAACAACAACCGCATACACTGAGACGGGCATTGAATCGTACAGTGAAAAACAACAACCGCATACACTGAGACGGGTATTGAATCGTACAGTGAAAAACAACAACCGCATATATTGAGACGGGCATTGAATCGTACAGTGAAAAACAACAACCGCATATATTGAGACGGGCATTGAATCGTACAGTGAAAAACAACAACCGCATACACTGAGACGGGCATTGAATCGTACAGTGAAAAACAACAACCGCATACACTGAGACGGGCATTGAATCGTACAGTGAAAAACAACAACCGCATATATTGAGACGGGCATTGAATCGTACAGTGAAAAACAACAACTAACAAGAAACTCTGAAGATAATAAGCTATGAAAGCCGATAGGACTGTAGAACTGCCTAGAGAAAGGTAAACTTTCAGACATGCCGTGACGAGGGCGTCGTTCTGTGGAGGACCTACTGACTGAAACACGAATGGGAGAACATGGGGTGATCTTCGTGCGATTGCAAGGGATGGGGTGATTGTATGTGAGGTGACTGACGGTCTATGGTCCATTGGGAAATAAAGAGCAGAAAATAAAAATTGCTGTTTATACAACAGTTGTAATCATCATTGATCACTGTCATCATGACAGTTAATAGACTGACATGGCTGGGAAATATTGAAAGAATGTCAGATGACACAGGTAAAAACTGTATACACATGGGAGTTCAATAGTCGTAGACCACGAGGCTTATAAAAAAGACGAGATAATGTTCAGACAGACCTGCAAACACTTGGTGTATGCCATGCTCTCTAGCGTAGTTGGTTAAACCTGACTTCCCCGTGACCGGGTGACGAACTCCTTGTGGTCCAGGTAGGCAAAAAAACCACATTGCCCCCTATTTGCGGTATCTATCATGGAATCAAGGCCGAAGGGTTGCAATATCCATAGTACCGAGCCAAAGGGTTAACAACTAATGGTTTCTGGATATTTAAAACACTTGGTGTCATCAAACGGAAGAGAAGGCCAACCAGAAAAGTGAGAGGAGGCTGGTGATATCTGCAGCAATGATCCTCAAGGGCTCGGTATGCTGAAGAAAAAGGCCAACCACAAAAGTGACAGGAGGCTGGTGATATCTGCAGCAATGATCCTCAAGGGCTCGGAATGCTGAAGGAGAAGACATTTTTACAACATATCTGTCATGAAATCTGCGTTCACTAAACATGTTATGCATGTTCCTGTCACATTGCTAGGTCCCGGGAAGGTGCAGGAGGTCCTGAAGGAATGCGAAGCAAAGATACAATGTATGAAGGAGATGTACATGGAGAAGATGAAGGCAGAAGGGGTAAGAACAGGACTTTACTTCTAGGAGGTGGGAAAAACACAGTTTTCTATGGTATTTATTTTTCAGATTATGTACTTTCTTCTTGTTATAGTCTATACGTGTGGCATTGGAGGTGATGTCTGTCCACAACTTGTCTTTCGTGTACTTTCAGTATATTCTGACACAGATGATCTTCTATGCTTCTCTCTCGGTCTCCATCTGCCTACATGCCGCTGTAACTTTCCTACCGTCACTACGTACTCCAGTTCTCTCCTTTTCCATGTCTGAAGTTGGCAATTTGCCAAAATATCTGCTTTCTTTGCGGTGAGAGGACAGGGGTGGGGAGGAGGTTCTATTCTTTTCCCCTCAGATCAGTACAAAAGAGAGTGGTGCAAATATTTTCATACAATAACGAGTGGAAATGTTTGTTTCTCTTTCTTCTTCTTCTTCTTGATCTTCACCGGCTGTAAAAGACACTAAGTAAAGTAATTAGAGGTGTTTCCATCGAAATTTGAGTGCAGCTGCCTGGGATACAAGAAACGAACAGTCTGTATACAAATAAGGTAGATATGTAAAACGACTGTGCATGCAAAAACTCAAATTCTGGAACGAGATCAAAGGTTGGAAGTGGACGAACAACCAGAATTTTCCTATGGAGTTTACAGCTAATAATAGTAATAATAATAATAACAATAAAAAGACGAAGAAGACGACGAAGAAAAAAGAAGATAAAGAAAAAGAAGAAGAAGAAGAAGAAGAAGAAGAAGAAGAAAGAAGAAGAAGAAGAAGAAGAAGAAGAAGAAGAAGAAGAAGAAGAAAAGAAGAAGAAGAAGAAGAAGAAGAAGAGAAGAAGAAGAAGAAGAAGAAGAAGAAGAAGAAGAAGAAGAAGAAGAAAACGAAAATGAAGCGAATCTAAAAGGAACGAATCCCAGATCCTAACGTCAGTCTTTTGGGTCCCCTACGGTTAGGAAGTAAGCTGCTGTTTTATGTGGATTTGTACAAAAGGTATCCATTACCCACACTGTTAATAAACGGTTCCCTATCACTTTGAAATGACCGACGTTGTATCAGGTAGAAGAGAGATCTATTACCCACACTGTTAATAAACGGTTCCCTATCACTTTGAAATGACCGACGTTGTAGGAGGTAATAGAGAGATCTATTACCCACACTGTGGTTAAACGGTTCCCTATCACTATGAACTGGCTTATGTTGTATGAGGTAGAAGAGAGATCTATTACCCACACTGTGGTTAAACGGTTCCCTATCACTATAAACTGGCTTATGTTGTATGAGGTAGAAGAGAGATCTATTACCCACACTGTGGTTAAACGGTTCCCTATCACTATAAACTGGCTTATGTTGTATGAGGTAGAAGAGAGATCTACTACCCACACTGTTGTTAAACGGTTCCCTATCACTATGAACTGGCTTATGTTGTATGAGGTAGAAGAGAGATCTATTACCCACACTGTGGTTAAACGGTTCCCTATCACTATGAAGTGGCTTATGTTGTATGAGGTAGAAGAGAGATCTATTACCCACACTGTGGTTAAATGGTTCCCTATCACTATAAACTGGCTTATGTTGTATGAGGTAGAAGAGAGATCTACTACCCACACTGTTGTTAAACGGTTCCCTATCACTATGAACTAATCCATGTTGTCTGATTGTTCCTAATGTCTGTATAGTGACTGATGATTCCCCACTGTTCTCTGCTTCTGAAGATTGAAGGAGAGTTCATCCGTATTGACGCTGAGAAACCTGGACAAGCAATCGTAGACTGCGCTATTGAAAACAACGCCTGCTTTATTGTCACTGGTCAGTACTGGGTGCTGCGTTTGTTTGCTTTTATAAGTCATTTTTTTTTCCCTTTTAAAGATCGACTTGTTTTCTTTCTTCTAAACCGTCAGCCGATGAAGCGAAATTAAACAATGGTATGTTGTTGGATTTGAAACACGTTCATTAAAATTTGAGACAAGAAGCCTGCCCATAGTTCACAGAATCTAACAATGTAATTGGGGTGGAGATGGTTGCGGCTTCCTTCCGATGGTTGAAAAAAAAGGGGGTGGGGGGCATGCCTAGCATGCTCAGAAAATAGAATTAGAAACTATAATTCTACAAACAGAGGAGCACGTATTGCTTCGTAAAATGGCAGTTAAGAAGCATAGCGGCATTGACATAAAGATAATATGGAAAGATGAATGATACAGGTATTGAGACAGACTCCTGGGAACAAAATGACATGGACAGTGTTGTGTGGAAAGGGCATATCAGGAAGGTAATGAGACTGAAGGAAGAAATGAAAGCAGAAAGGATGAGAGCTGAGCGTCTGAAAAGAAACAGATTAAACACAAACGTTGTTAACAATGGCCCTGAAATCCCATGCCATCATTGTGGAAGACTTTTCTTGACACGGGCGGGTCTTGCTAGTCATACTCGCCATCGCCATGGGCAATCTCATGCCTCCTCATAGCGCAATATAACACTATCATCTGGAAAGACGGAAAGGTGCCAATGAGAATGAATGAGTATGAATATGGAAAGAGGGAAGGGGTCAGAAGCCTGTGCGTAATAATAATAATATTGGGATCAATGGCCAATGAATGTAATCTTATATTTTAAATGGTATGAAATGTTCAAAGGAATACTTACAAAAATAACTCCTCTATATAGTTAGGAAGATGATACGCCCCTTTACAAAATTTATTTGTGGCAGGGGGAATCAGCCCCTCCCACGATGTTTTGCTAAGGGGCGGGGCCTCCAAAGTCTACACCCCCCCCCAAGTTCCGGCGTCCCTTGGATATTCTACATAGGGCTGTATGTGTACTGGGGTTGGAAGGGGGAGGTGGTGAGCGGGAAACACATGTTAACAAACACAACATATACCACAGGCACAAGACATACATACAGACACAATACACACAGATACAACAGGTACTCACAGATACAACACACACTCACAAACATAAGACATACTCACAGGCACAACACATACTGACAGACACAAGACATACTCACAGGCACAACACATACTTACAGACACAACACATACTTACAGGCACAAGACATACTCACAGACACAACACATACTTACAGGCACAAGACATACTCACAGACACAACACATACTCGCAACACATACTCACAGACACAATACATACTCACAGATACAACATGTACTCACAGACACAACACACGCTCACAGATACAACATATACTCACAGACACAACACACACTCACAGATACAACAGGTACTCACAGATACAACACACACTCACAAACACAAGACATACTCACAGACACAATACATACTCACAGATACAACAGATACTCACAGATACAACACACACTCACAGATACAACACACACTTACAGACACAGACACAATTAGTTCGGCTTATACAGTGATAGGCTTATATAGTAAACTCATTTTCTTCAAATGTATTATTTCCTTAATGAAAATTAAGAATAATACATTGTAACTCAGCCCCCTTGTGCGATGCAATATTTTTGTTTTTTGAAGTCCCACCCAGCTTTTGTCGGGGGGCCCTGAATATAGCTAGGTAATTGTGGCCACAACGATTGAAAGGGGTTTCAGGGACCTCTCCACGGGTGATCCTCATCCGCATGGTGGCACTTTGTGTCACCGGGTGTTTATCGCTTGTGTGATGTCCTTGTGGGGTACAATAAACAAACAAGCAAGCAATACATTGTATAATTTCTTTACTGTGGGGGAAAAGGAAGGGGGGGGGGAGGACTTCTTCTTCTCCGGGCCTTCTTCTTCTTCTTCGATCCTTCTGTCAGAAGACCGGTAGCCATTATGAAAGCTATCGTGGCGTCCATATCCTCTCGTGTACCATACAGCTTTGTCTTCATTGTGGTTGGAACAGGCCAGATTGTATCTATGCTGTCAGCATACAATTGACAGTGTTGGAGCACATGCTCAGCATTTTCGGGTGCCACGCTGCAGGGACACGTCTCCGTGTTTCCTACACCGAAAAATTTGAACATATGTTGACGAAATTTGTTGTGCCCAGTCCTCAGTCTGAATATAATACACTGTCCCTCTCTAGAGAACGATGAAGCGAGTCTTGGGGAGAAAATCTGGTGTGGGTATCCAGCCACCTTTCTTGGATACTAGATTGTATCAATGTTTTCGTCTCTTGGTGGGTTAAGTCCCTTTTTGGTTGTACCATGTCACTGCCACAGTGACCTGAAATCCACTGCAGTAAAGATTGTTCTACTGAAGAGCCTAAGTTAATCAGCTGTTGCGTCAAGTCTACAAAGTGAGTATCTTTGATTAAATAAGGTCATGGTTGAGTCACGCAGGTTCTGGCTGCCATGTTCGTTAATGATTGTTTCAATCATGACATATTTGTATTTTTTTCCTATGTCTTTGTGTTTGTCACTTCCACCCCATCAGTTCAGCTGATCGCATGCCTGCCTATTTCAGGTACTCGGGGTCAAGGCAAGGTCAGACGAACCATCCTGGGAAGCGTCAGCGACTACATCATCCACCACTCCCCGGTGCCCGTTCTGGTCTGCAGGCACAAGTCTTCCTCGGAGAAGGAGTCCAAGGAGAAGAAGCACGATAAAGAGAGAAAAGATAAAGACAAGAAGAATCATAAAGATAAGAACAGTAAAGAAAGGGAACATAAAGATGGCGATCAGAAGGATAAGGAATAGAATGTTACATGTCGTGAGAAGTAGATTTTGTAAAATAAGAAACAAAACATGTCAAACGATGTTGTTTCTATTATACCCTCCCCGTGTGGGTTATGGATCCCATTTTTGTGTGGGGCTGTGGGGAGGGGGGAGGGGTTGGTAATTGGATCCTATTTTTACCTGGGGGTGGGGGATGGGTGGGTGGGGGGGGGGGGGAAAGACACACTGCCTTCGTATTAAAGATTCTATAGAAGGCGACTAACTAATGTCTTTTTATCTCCCAAGTTAAAGTCCAGAAGTGGACGAACCAAGTAGACCTTTCCGTCAGAGTTTACAGCTGTAAACGAACGCTAAGAAGAGGATGGAGATTATACTTTTTCATTGTACTGATAGAGGCCGCAGTCGACACGAGACTCGCTTTCAAATCCAGCTGCAACTCCCTGCAGTCCACGGTCTGTGTTCGAAACCAGGCGGTTCCCGGGGTTCACCCAGCCTCTAGGAAATGAGTACTAGAGTTGACACTCTGGGGTAAATGGAGGAACGTCGCTGTGGCTACGGTGTTATGTGCCGACGGCGACACAGGCGGAGAGTTTCTTATCAGCTGTCCGTACTGGTGGCAGAGCACATATGGTTTATAACTGTGTGCAATGACGCTAGTTCGCATCTCCCGACTTTACCTTTTACCTTTACTGTCCTGTTTTGCCTTTATATACCACATAGGCCTCGCGGTCCATTCCTTCATTCCGTTCTTTCCTGTCCAATCACTTCTATATCACAGGTAGAATTCACTCCATCCCCTTTGGCCTCTCTCATCAACATTCGGTGTCTGTGGCTTAGACGTTGCGAACGCGCTTTGTGATGCCGGGGTGCAGTGTTCGATCCCTGCTGCAGACGATTTGTCTTCCGCTGGTTTCGACAGTGGTACCGAGAGCTGACCGTTTAGAAAGCAATGGCAAACTACTGAACGTAAAATTTGCCTAGAAAAACTACAACAGCCAATAAATGCTCTGGTTGGTTCTGCAACGTCCTGTAAAGGATACGAACTAACTTTTGTTGTAGATTTTATACAGGCAGATTTTTTTTTCTTTAGTGGGCTACGGCTTTCGTATCAATAGTCGAACTGACATTATCTTATTACCGTTTTCATGATCATCATCATCGTCATCATGATCATCATCATCATCATCATCATCATCATCATCATCATCATCATCATCGTCATCATCATCATCATCATCATCGTCATCATCATCGTCATCATCATCATCATCATCATCATCATCATCATCATCATCATCATCATCATCATTATCATCATCATCATCATCATCATCATCATCATCATCATCATCATCATCATCATCATCATCGTCATCATCATCATCATCATCATCATCGTCACCATCATCATCATCGTCATCATCATCATCATCATCATCGTCATCATCATCATCATCATCATCATCATCATCATCATCATCATTACCATCACATTGTCATCAGTGTTCCAGGTTCAAGTGAAGGGACAATACAACTCAGGGTCGACCCAGGCTCAATATTTACACCTGATAATTTACAAGTTCTTTCAGAGTGTGGTAGACCAAGATGGAAATCCTCAGTAAGGTCATGGATTTTTTGGGGGTCGGGGGGCAAAGGTAAAATCCTTACCTGCATAGTTCGTGGCGGCAGCACTAGACATGCGACTGTAAATCCTCAAGCTCAAGGACAACTCTGTATACACAGCAGAAGTGGTAAATTCAGGCTTCCGACTGGAATTAGCCTGGGAAGGAAAGGTGCCGAGGAACGGAACAGTCAACCTTACCTCCGATGGCATGGAATAGAATGTGAGAGACATAACACGTAAGGATATGCTTTTAAGGCTACATTAGGCAGGTTCCAGTGTTGACTAGAACATTAGGCAGGTTCCAATGTTGACTAGAACATTAGGCAGGTTCCAGTGTTGACTAGAACATTAGGCAGGTTCCAATGTTGACTAGAACATTAGGCAGGTTCCAGTGTTGACTAGAACATTAGGCAGGTTCCAATGTTGACTAGAACATTAGGCAGGTTCCAGTGTTGACTAGAACATTTGAAAACAAAAAGGCAGTAACATATTCTTCACAGGAGGCATGTCAAAATGACGGCCCTTTTTAAGCAAACAGGCGGTCCTGCTAAGGAAATATTCAACATTTTTAATTCAAAAATTAAAACTTTGATTACTTTTGGTGTGTTCTGAACCTTTTCAAAAACAATTTGATACTATTAAGAAAAAAGTGTCGACCGAACTAATAGTTATACAACAGGATTATGACATATACTAGCCAAGATGCGATATAAGGGAAACAATTCAACTTTGTTTAACACGTTACGATTGTCAAAACAATTACTTCCCCTGAATTTTTAAACATTTTATATTTTTTTTAATTACGCCTAGCCACGACCTTCTATGACGTGTGCTGTCAGATCCGTCAGTTATGCATGTTTCTCCATGCTTATTGCTAACGTTCTTAACAACCACTATCTCAGTCTCTCCCTTTCCGTGTCCCTTTCCAACTTTCCTGTTGTCACCGACTCCGAAGTTTTCCCTCTAAAATCTGTCACAGATACGAATTTCTTGGACGTCAAAGATAACACAGAACAAATTCGTCCTCATATGGGATGCAATTTTTCGTTGTTTTTGAAAGCCCGTCTATGACTTTTGCCGGGGTCCTAATATAACCTAACGGTTGAACGCGGTGTCTGAAACCTCTCCACGGGACCTCATCCTCATGGTGGCACTTTGTGTCACCGGGTGTTTATCGCTCTGTGTGATGTCCTAGTGGGGGTTACATTTACTTTCTTACGAAAGTTAACATGCATTTTCCTGCCGTTACAATTCCGCCTTACTACAAACCTGTATAAAGAAAATTCTCTGCAGTGTGGGCAATGAATCTAAAAACGATAAAGGCAACAAGGTCATCTGGGAACTCAAGTTAAAGAATCTTGAAGAACTGATTGCAGAAGGCTCCGAGAAGTTAGCCTCTGTCCCATCAGGTGGTTATAGCAGCCAGTGATGTCCCGGCAGGTGGTGTTGAAGCTCTGGCAGACAAAGCGGCAGCTCCTGCTTCTGCAGGCAAGAAACAAGAAAATGAAGAAAAGTCTAAAGAATCTCATGACGGCGTAGGTTTTGTTTAATTGTTTGTCTAAACATTGACTTTAATAACAACTCTTTTACATTGAGAAATAAAGTGTACGAATAAAATTTAACATAAAAAAAGGACAATCAAATCTTTACACTGAACAGCAGGTTACAAGGTAACCATAGTTGTACCATAATACAGAATAATTCTAAAGGATACACTTTCATTTATGTATATCTCCTTAAAATATACATTGACTGTGAATAGTTTACATACAAAAGAGAGGGTAAGTTGTGTAAAATTTCAAATACTTCCGCTAGAGCGTAAGTGCCTTCTCAACCACTCGTATCACAGCTGCAGAGAACCCGTTTACGGAAGAGATGCTTCTGCATGTGTGGGCTGAGTTCGGCTACCGCTTAGATGTTTGCCGAGCAGCGAACGGTGACCATATTGCACATCTGTAACCTCTACTGTACGCTTGTAAAGTTGAGACATTCCCCCCTCTCTCTCTCTCTCTCTCTCTCTCTCTCTCTATCTATATATATATATATATATATATATATATATATATATATATATATTATATATATATATATATATATATATCTCTCTCTCTCTCCTCTCTTGTATGTATGTTAAAAATATGTAATGTCTAGTCAAGGAAATATCCATCAATGAAAGTGGAACATCCATTTTGAAAACCATCAGTTATTATTCGATTAAACGCAGTTTTTAGGACCAGATGCGTAAATCCACAGAGAGCAGTCTTAGAGTGGAGCAACAATCACTACCACAAACCTGTAACGTCTTCTTTATCTTCACCAGCTGTAGACTCCTGCGGAAAGTTCCGGTTATTTGTTCACTTGCGGACTTTAGTCTTGTTCCAGAACATGAGTTTTGCATGCACATCGTTGTGTAGATCTGGACTTCTATCCTGCTGACGAAACATCAGCAAGTATGGCGCCGCAAAATATCTTCCGAGGCCACAGTCGCATGTCAATTACGCCACTCAAGCGGTCACGAGCACACCGCGAGCTGCTGCTCACATTCGACATTCCAAGAAACCGCAGCTAGTTAGTAGACTTTTACGACATGCTTATTAGGATCAGTGGGTTTCTCCTCTTGTTCCCTCTACAATGGGAACCCGACTCCCACACGGTGAAAACATAGAACTGCTTATCGGCATAGAACTCCAGGATACGCCAGGCAAATTTGTCGTTTCAGAAGCCATAATTATAACATTTGTAGTGGTTGAATGAGTATCATAGAATAGGGTGTCAAACATTAAGTTAGTAAATATGAGAGAAAAACTGTCACTAAGCAATTAAGCCGGTGAGTCAGTCAGTCAGTCATTCAGTCAGTCAGGCAGTCAATCAGTTAGTCAATTAGCCAGTCGGTCATTCAGGCAGTTAGCCAGACCGTGTCAGTCAACACATTCCAGGTGGGCAGTCGTCTTCAAGTCAGTCACGCAGAGGTCATTCAGCAGTCATTTGCGTCAGTCAAGTCAGGGCATTTCAGTCATCATCCAGGCAATCCGTCATTTAGTCAGACAGGCAGTCAGTCAGTCATTTAGTCAATCAGTCAGCCAGTCGGTGATTCAGGCAGTTAGCCAGACAGTCAGTCAAACATTCAGCCAATCAGTCATTCTGTCATTAGATCAATCAGTCAATCAGTCAGTCAATCAATTAGTCCGTCAGTCAGTTGGTCATTCAATGAGTCAGTCAATCAATCAGTCAGTCAAGAGTGCCTCGTTCTGGCGGCTGTTTCTTAGGTTTAGTGAATGCATTTAGCAGTTACCCAATTCTCGACATGTTGGGGTTATATTTCTGCGGCAGGCGGTTTATTTAAACAGCAAAACATATGCGGTTTATGTGTCTTTCGTGCATTCGTACGAGACTGGCC